GGTTTTATGCTTTCTTTTTCTCCCAGTACATACAGACACTGCTCCACTTTGTTTTCTGGCATTGTGGGTTGCAGTGAGAAAGCTGAGGTCAACTCATGCATGGGGCTGGCTGGGTGTGGGGTTCTACTTGAAACCCTAGGACTTGGGAGGCTGAGGCAGGAGGAGTGTGAGTGCTTGGCCTAGCTACACAGCTAGATTCTTTCCCAAATAAAAAAGGAAGCATAGAAGAAAGGATGGAAAATAACAAAGGAAGGAAGAAGGGAAGGAAAGAAGGAAGAAAAGACTGATTTTCTTTTTGTTGATAGTTTGGATAGAATTCAGGGCCTCCTTCATGCTTGGCAAGCATTCTGCCTCTTGAGCATCCCAGACCTTTTGCTTTGAGTTCATATTTGATATACAATAACGTTTACCCACAGTGGTCATGTACCTTCCCATATACAATTGTGAGCACCTGAAACCAAACCATGTTTCGTTTGAGGCAAGCCATGATTTCTGTATCCATCTACACTTTTGTTTTTGTCTAGATTCCCATAAAAATGCTCTTAATTTCATATAATAAAAAATTTACACCAGGTGCCTGTGGCTCATGCGTATAATCCCAGCTACTCAGGAGGCTGAGATCTAAGGATTGCAGTTCAAAGCCAGCCAGGGCAAGAAAGTCTGTGAGACTCTTATCTTCAATAAACCACCAGGAAACCGGAAGGGGCGCTGTGGCTCAAGTGGTAGAGCGCTAGCCTTGAGCTGAAGAGCTGAGGGACAGCGCCCAGGCCCAGAGTTCAAGCCCCATGACTGACAAAAAAAAGAAAAAAAAATTCCAACAAGAAAAAATATTGAGATTCATCAATTGCTAATATTTTTCATATTAACTATCTCCTCTGTATGTCTGCCTGTGTGTGCATGTGTGTATGTGTCTGCTCATATTTCTTTCTCAGTCAGCAAAGATAATCTGTAATCTGTAGATTCCTAATACTTCAGAATGAGTTTCCTAAGAGTAGCATTTTCCTAAGAGAGTGATTTCTGAATGTGTTTCAGAATCTATTCTGTACTTAAATTTCTCTAGTTTTTGCTTCTCTCTTCTGTGGCCCTTAAAACAACAGAAAATGAAACCAACACAAAATAAGAAATCCAATTAGAATTCACACAATGTATTTGGTTGTTAGATTCCATTAATCTGTCTGTTTTAGTGCTGTTCCTAGGACTTGATCTCAGCCTGGGCCTTTATTTTTTGTCAGTTGTGGTGCTTGAACTCTGGGCCTGGGTGCTATCCCTCAGCTCTCCAGCTCAAGGATAGCGCTCTACCACTTGAGCCACAGCGCTACTTCTGGTTTTCTGAATGGTTTATTGGAGATAAGAGTCTCAGACTTTCCTGCCCATGCTGGCTTTGAACCGTGATCCTCGGATCTCAGCCTCCTAAGTAGCTAAGATTACAGGCGTGAGCCACCTGCACCTACTCAGATCTCAGCCTCCTGAGTAGCTAAGATTACAGGCGTGAGCCACCTGCACCTGGCTTCAGCCTGCGCTTTTTGGCTGCTAAGAAGTGAGAGTCTCATTGCCTGGGCTGACTTCTGTGATTCTCAGATCTCAGCTTCTTGAGCAGCTAGGATTACAGGCATGAGCTAAGTGTCCAACTGTACAAATATACTTTTTTACACCTATCATTTACATATTTTAGAGACCCATTCCATTGAATGCTGTTTCGATTTTTCCTGTCTCCTTCTACCTATATTATTTCATGAAGATTTTTAAAAACTTATACCTAGGAAAGTTAAGCTTTTATTTTCTACTGCTTTGTGTAATGTCATTATTGGCCATCTATATTTTTGCACATGTATCTGTTATGGTTTAAAGGTGTCCCTAAAAGGTCTTGTCTTGAAACTTTAATTCCCAAACTCATATTAATGGCATTTGGGGGTGGCACTTTTGGGAAGTTTAGATAGTCATTGGAGTGGGGCCTCATGCTGGAATTAGTGGCTTTATAAGAGGAAGAAAGACACCTGGACTAACATGTTTGCTCTGTCTTGTCCTGTAATGTTTTCCCAGTGTTACAATGGGAAAAGAAGCCTGATGACCAGATGCTAGATTCCACGTGCCACTGGAGTCAGAGACAAATGAACTATTGTTTCTAAGTTACCTAGTCTTGGGTACTTTCTTATAGTAACATAAGAGACTAGGGCAGTATCAAAACCTTCTTCTGGCTGAGCGCTGGTGGCTCATGCCTGTAATCCTACTCAGGAGGCTGAGATCTAAGGATCTCGGTTCAAAGCCAGCCAGGGCACGAAAGCCTGTGAGACTATTCCAGTTAATCACCAGAAAGCTGGAAGTGGCACTGTGGCTCAAGTGGTAGAGTGCTCGCCTTGAGCTGAAGAGCTGAGGGACAGCGCCCAGGCCCAGAGTTCAAGCCCCAAGACCGTCAGAAAAAAACACAAACACCTTCTTTTGTCATCTGTGTTTCTTTCTGCTAGTACCTATAGTATTGTCACTGCCCATAATGGAACGCTCACATACTCGTAGATGCTTTTTAGAAAGATGTGACCAATTCACATAAGTCTTCTTTGCTGCAGAGAGCAACTGCTCATCCCAAGTTTGGCACTTCGAATCTTCTGGAGCCTTTCCTACCAGGTCAGAGGACAGTGTTAAAGCTTGAGGTTAGATAGAAGAACAGAGCAAGGAATCTCATCGTTAGCTTGGATAGGAAGTGTCAATCATCACGTCTATTAACCTCTGCGATTTTGAAATGCTCTTCCCAATGGCCGGCTGTGCCTTAGGCCACAGAACACAGCGGACTCATAGCTCCCGGCGGGCGGCTGCAGGAGGAAGGCCGCTGGCTTGGGTTCGAGGGCCCGTTCCGAACGCGGTCCTTTAACTTAGGGGGCAGGTCCTAGGAGGGCCAGTGCGCCGACACGCCCAGCATCCCTTACACCTGGCCGCACCGCTCCAGAGCACATCGGAATTTAAAGGATTTAAAGGAAAACAGGCAGAAACAAACTGCGTCGCGGTACCGGGGGCTGTGGGGCCGTCACCCTCGGGGCCGGCGCAGCAGTGTGGAGGTCGGGCCATCGAGGCTGCCCGCAGTCCCAAACCACTGCTGTTCTCCACCGAGACAGCACACGCCCCCGGCCCGACGCTCCGCTCAGTCACTCCCGAACGTCAGTGCAGGTTACCGGCCACCCAGGGACAACCGTGGTCTCCGTGGCCGACAACCGCAGACCCCACGGACGCCCGCGCTGGCCTCTCCCGAGCCCCTCCTGTGGAGCGTGCGGAACCCTGGGATTTGTGGTCCTCTTTGCGCGCTCCGCCAGAGCTAGCTAGGGCGGAGAGGACTACATTTCCCAGAAGGCACCGGGATAAAGCGGGGCGGGAGGGGGCGGTGTCAAGCCCTGGGCGGGCGTCGCCGTTTCCTAGCGCCGCACTCTTTTTTTTCCCCCCTAGTAACCCGTGGCCCCGCCCCCCGGGGCCCGAGCCGACCGACAGCCTGCCTCCCGCGGCGCCCCAGTGACGAGGCCGGTCCCCGGGTGCGCGGGGCGGGGAGGGGAGCGGGGAAGGGCAGGGCAGGCAGGGGACTTCACTCTGTGGTGCGGGATCCCAGGCTTGCCGGCGGCGCCTGCCAGCCGCTGAGGTTAGAGGCGGGGAGAGCAGTTGTGCTCCGCGGCGAGGCTGGAGCGGGAGTGGGTGGAGTGCTGGTCGCCGTCGGGGCGGCCCTGTTCGCAGGTCGGGGTGGGGATAGGGAGAGTCCCTGGGACCGCGGCGGCCGACGCCCGGTGTGCGTGTGTGAGTGCCCGCGCGCGCGCGTGCGGGAGCGCCGGGTCGCCGTCCCCGCGGCCCCTCGGGCGACCCCGCCCTCCGCCGGGGTTGGGCCCCGCAGCTCCCAGACTTGCCCCGGAAGGTGGGGGGGACTTGTTAATTATTTAATTTCCGGGACCCCGGAACGTTTGTTTGTTTGTTTGTAGCGCTCGCCTCCCTCCAGCGCGCGCGTTCCCGGCCTGGTTTCCTCCGACCCGGAGGCGATCGCTCAGGGTGGCGGTGTGGAAGTTGCGGGGTCGGGAAAGCGGGGAAGTTCTTCGGGGGTTCTCTCGGTGCCGAAGACGAGGGTCAGATGGGTCATATCAATTTTAAACAATTACATGACGTCTAATTGGAGCATCCCCCCCAAAAAAACCCCCATCATTGCATTTTTGCCTACGCTTAATGGGGAAACAACAAATACTCTTTCAAATCAAGTGATCAATTACCAACCCGCCACGTTCAGGGGATTTTTTTTTTTTTTTTTGGTCCCCATATCGTTAGAGAGATGGGTGAATCCGGAGGGACGAAGGTGGAGTAATTGACACTGAAAACAAACCATCAAACCCAAACACCACCTGGGCTTCGTGTGGGGATTATTTCCTTGGACTGGGCGACTTCTACAGAAATTCTGTTTCCTACTCGCTCTTGCACCCTAGACTGGTCCGTTTCGGATCCGAAGGACGGTGATGGCAAAGCGTACCCGGGCTGCTGGTCCAATAACACGGGTCACAGGATAAATCCCGCTGCCAGCCGCGAATCCTCCCCTCCCCCCCCCAGCCCGCCCCCAGCCCGTCCCCTCCGCTCGACACCGAAAACTTAGTGAGCGAACTGGGTAATCAGCGTCTGGGATATGCAGATCTCGGATTTAAAAGGTGGGGTGACCCCCCCGAGATCCTCTCCCAGGGGCCGAAGCCCGCGGGTGCAGTGAGGCGCGTGCGCGCGGGCCCGCGCGGGTGCTGGCGCCC